GGCAGGCGGACTCTCAAGCACTGCGCCACCAGGGAAGCCCAGCAGGTGGATTCTTAACCACTGCGCCACCAGGGAAGCCCTGTTTTTTGGGTTTTTTTAATGTGTTTTTTTCCCCCCTGTTTTTCTTTTTCTTTCGTTTCTTTTCTTTTTTGTGGTTGGGGGCACCGTGCTGTGCAGCTTGCTGTATCTTAGTTCCCCAACCAGGGACTGAACCCCGGTCCCACAGCAGTGATAGCGTGGAGTCCTAACCACTGGACTGCCAGGGAATTCCTAGGAGTTCTGTCTTATCAAGAGTTCTGTTTGGGTTGTACTAAGATTTAGATGTCCATTAGACACTCATGCAGAGCAGCCAAGCAATTAGGTATATGGGTCTAGAGTTCTAGAGAGAGGACTGACTTAGGGAAATAAATTTGGGAACTGTTGACTCATGGACAGTGTTAAAAGCCATCGAACTGGCTGAGATAACCTGAGGAGGGAGTAAAGATAGAGAGAGAATGGAACCCAGGACAAAGCCCTGGAGCACACCAATATGTCAAGGACGGGATGATTCAGGAAAGGAGCCAAAAAAAAGAAAAACCCTCAGTGAGGTGGGAGGAAATCCAGGAGATTGTGATGCCATAAAAGCTAAGCAAAGAAAGTCTTTCAAGGCTTCCCTGGTGGCGCAGTGGTTGAGAATCCGCCTGCCAATGCAGGGGTCACGTTAGATCCCTGGTCCAGAAAGATCCCACATTCTGTGGAGCAACTAAGCCCGTGCGCCACAACTACTGAGCCTGCTCTCTAGAGGCCGTGAGCCACAACTACTGAAGCCCGCATGCTTAGAGCCCGTGCTCTGCAACAAGAGAAGCCACCGCAATGAGAAGCCTGTGCACCGCAGCGAAGAGTAGCCCCCACTCGCTGCAACTACAGAAAGCCAGCACACAGCAATGAAGACCCAACGCAGCCAAAAATAAATAAATAAAATAAATAAATTTATTTTAAAAAAAAGAAAGTCTTTCAAGAAGAAGGGGGTGATCAGCTATGTTAAATGTTGCTAATAAATGGTGCTTGATAAGACCTGAGGTGCCCATTGACTTTGGCAACATAGAGATAACTGGTGACCTTGATAAGAGCAACCTCAAGTGAAGTGGTGGGGCTGGAAGCCTATTTGGAGTGTATTGAAAAGGGAATGTAAAGAAAGGAGGTAGACTTAGTCAACATAGACAAACCACATAGAAGTTCTGTTGTGAAAAGGAAGGTAGAAATGGGGTGGTAGCGGAAGGAGGATGTGGGTCAAGGGAACGTTTTATAGCTAGGAGATACTGGAGTGTGTTTATGTCCTAAGAGGGTTGATCCAGGAGAAAGGAGATAATTATAGAACTGATGCATTCGATAAAGCAAAAGGATGTGAGCACCAGTGGAGGGTAGCCTTTGATAGGAGCACGGGTGGTTCATCCTTCATGTCAAAAAGGAAGGTAGAGACTCTGATAGATTTGGTGTTGAGAAAATGAGGCTGTTCCTATCTAATTGCTTCTGTTTTGTCCATGAAGTGAGAGGTAGGGTCAGTAACTGTTGAAGGGCTGTGGGATGAGGGGATTGGTTTGAAGAGAGGGGAGAACGTATGAAATAGGCCTTTTAGAGAACAGCAAGGCAAACATGCAGGATTGCCAGGGTTATTATCCATTTAAGCAGCAGCCGAGTTGTGTGGGATAGAAGGAGCCTGGTTACTCCTCCTTGCCTCAGGGTCTCATGGCAGTGACTCTTGTCCTGTAATAGAGTGACCTGGTGGGGGAGGAAGGACTGCACTGGCCAAAGATGATAGTGGCCTGAGTAGCCTCTTGATAAAGGGCTACACTGATAAAGGGCTTAAGTGGGGGTCATCACAAGGACAGAGCTGTGCATGAGGAGCCTGGTCAGAAAGGAGGAAGGGATGTTGTAGGGGGTAGTGGAGAAGGGAAGAAAATAGTTTCCACCTAGAATTTTCCCTGCTAATACCCCTTCCTGCCTCTCCAGGCCTTTATTAACCCTCTCTATTGAGTCACCTACCTCTCCTTTCTGACTTTGGAGCAGCCCAGAGCTCTCAGATGGCCTCAGATTGACACCATAGGAAGTGCCTCTGTGTGGGGTGTCAGTTCCAGTGTCCCAGGCATACCTGTGGCCTGAGCTAAGCCCCAGTATGTCCAGCAAAGCAGTAGTCTGAGCCAACTCCTTGGTGGGAGTTCTTTTTTTTTTTTTACTAAATTTATTTATTTATTTATTTTTGGCTGCATTTTTCGTTGCTGCCCGTGGGCTTTCTCTGGTTGCGGTGAGCGGGGGCTACTCTTCGTTGCGGTGCGCAGGCTTCTCATTGCGGTGGCTTCTCTTGTTGCAGAGCACGGGCTCTAGGCATACAGGCTCCGTAGTTGTGGCACACAGGCTCTAGAGCACAGGCTCAGTAGTTGTGGTGCACGGGCATAGCTGCTCCGCGGCATGTGGGATCTTCCCAGTCCAGGGCTCGAACCAGTGTCCCCTGCATTGGCAGGCGGATTCTTAACCACTGCGTTGCTGGGAGTTCTGACACCTGACCTAGCAAGAGTGACATAGAAAGAATTCTGGATTGATTCCAGATGACAGGACAACCAAAATCATAGATTCTCAGGGCTGGAAGAGCCCTCAGAGGTCATCCAGACCAGCCCACTGATCCTAGGAAGAGGAAATTAGGTCTCAGAGAGGGAAAGTAACTTACCCAAGGTCCTACAATGAATCATTAACACAGCTAGGGTAGGAATCCTGATCTGACTCCCAGATCTTTTCCTGCCATCCTCCACAACCAAGGAAACATAGGTTTTGGTCAACTGGAAAATGACCTGGGCAAACTGTATGTTTCTTGCCATAGGGGGAAGAGGTAGTACCAGAGACGCCGTGTGAAATCCTCTACCAGGGCATGCTGTACAGCCTCCCCCAGTACATGGTAAGGAGATGGCTGGGCCAGAGTTGCCCTTCTCAGCTGTGAGGAATAGATAGCTGAGAGCCCTCTTAAGCTGAGCCAACTGTCATTTGAGCTTGCTTCCTGAGCCTTCACCCTTCAGGCAAGGCATTCTCTGAGCTTTCCTCAGGGCTCCTCCCAGAGGAAGAAGGACTTGGCTATATTCCCAAGTCCTTCTTTTCGAGGGGTGGAGAATGAGGTGGGTCCCTGCAGGATGCATATGGGGCCCTCCTCCTAAGTAAGTGCCTTAGTCCCCCTGAGGTCTGCCGTGGCCTCTGGTGTCCTAGTTGGCCTCAGGCTATGATGGTGAGGATGCTGATGGTCTGAGATAGAGGAAGGAAAACGGTCGGGGAGGGAGATCTTGCTTATACTTCCCACCTAATTTCTAGGCATTGCCCCTCTCACTCTGTTCCTTCAATCCTCTTTGGAAAGAGCAGTCTTGAAGCAGAACAGCCCATAAGCTCCCTTCTGGCTCCTTAGCCTCACAGGCAGGCCTGTCAGGACAGGGCACCTGTTTGCCCTTCTGGAGGCTGGGCAGATTTGGTTATTGAGGGAAGAACTTAGAGAAAGGCTTTAAAACATTTCTCTTAGGGCTATTGAATTGTGGAAGAATAACCTTGTTGAATGGGGGGATTTCCTCATTTTCTACTTCCCAGATTGCTCTACTTAAGATTCTACTGGCTGCAGCCCCTACCTCCAAGGCTAAGACAGACTCTATCAATATCCTGGCAGATGTCCTGCCTGAGGAGATGCCGTGAGTGCTTCAACTGGGGCAGCTGCTAAATATTAGCTACCTTGTCTGCAGGGTCTCTTTAGTCCCCACCTCACCTTGTTAACACTTTCAGGGATTGTCTCCAAAGAGATCTCCTCCCTGCCACCAGTAGCCCCTTTCCACTGCATTGCTCTCTGCTGTGCTCTCTTCAGCTCAGAATTAAGAGTCTGGAGGGTAACATCAGTGCCAGTTACTGGCTGCACATGTATGTGGGTGGACATTGCCAAGGGATGAGCTTGCCAAAGGAGAGAGAAAGAGATCAGAGGAGCTTTTCTCCTGACTCATAAGTGGGAACTCTGGAGGTTTCCCTAGCACAGTTCAGGTTTCTAAAGTTCTGGCTCTCTTGTGTTTATTGTGTCTGACCCAAATACCTGGGTCCTCGTAGGCCTTGCTCTAAGGTCACCCTCTGCACTGACTCTTCCTTTCCCCGTTGTAGCATCACTGTTCTCCAGAGCATGAAGTTGGGCATTGATGTGAACAGGCACAAGGAGATCATTGTAAAGAGTATCTCTGCCCTGCTCCTGCTACTCCTCAAACACTTCAAACTGAATCATATCTACCAGGTGAGCAGCTTAGAGCGCTTCTCCACATGTCTCAGGTGTCCTCCAGGTCCTGTCTCCCAAAGGAGGAACGAAAGGGCCTTTGAGGTCCAGCTAAGCATCTTTCAGCCTTTTCTTTGTCTCACGGAATCCAGATACCTGTTGCACAAGCTTGGGGTGGGAAATTGTCCTAGAAAGTTGCAAATGTCTGTGTCCTTTGAACATTATCCAGCGGTTGTGCATAGAAATCCCTAGCTTCTTGGGAATGTGCCCAGCCAGCTTTGAAGCAATGGACGACAGGATTCAAGCATGCCACAAAAAGGGGAAGTGGGGGAGTGCTGGGCATACTTTTCTATATGTGAAGCACTTTTTTTTTTTAATTTATTTATTTTTTTTATTTTTGGCTGCGTTGGGTATTCGTTGCTGCTCGCAGGCTTTCTCTAGTTGTGGTGAGCGGGAGCTACTCTTCGTTGCTGCACGTGGGCTTCTGTTGCAGAGCATGGGCTCTAGGCGCGCGGGCTTCAGTAGTTGTGGCTCGCAGGCTCAATAGTTGTGGCGCACGGGCTTAGTTGCTCTGCGGCATGTGGGATCTTCCCGGACCAGAACTTAAACCTGTGCCCCCTGCAATGGCAGGCAGATTTTTAACCACTGCGCCACCAGGGAAGTCCTGTGAAGCACTTCTCTAGCATTTGAGATGTAATTCTATAAGACACAGTTCTGGCTGTTAAGGGCTTTGAAGTTTTGTAAAGGATACAGATGTATAAATAGCCAATTATGGCGTGGTAAGTGCTGTTATACAGGTAAGCATTGGCTGCTATGGAAACACCTAATCCAACCTGAGGTGGAGAAGATGTGACTTCTAACCTGAGTCCTAAAGAAACAGATGTTAGCCAGGATACGGGAGTTGTCAGGGAAAGGTAGCAGGAAGCATTTCAAGCAGAAGCTAATTTGTGAAAGTCCAGAAGGGAGAGAGCAGAGTACCTTGGAAACTAATTAAATGTTGCTGGAGTTCTGCCTGGAGTGGAGGGAGTGGGGAGGCCTGATGATACACGAAGCTGGAGGGGATGGCAGGGAGCAGATCATAATACATATGCTAGCACACAGTTTTTTTGTTTTTTTTTTTTTTTTTGGGGCCCGGGGCCTCCCACTGTTGTGGCCTCTCCCGTTGCGGAGCACAGGCTCCGGACGCGCAGGCTCAGCGGCCATGGCTCAC